CGGGCGGCCGCGTCTGACGCGTCACTCTCATCCCGCCAGGCCTGTATCTGCGGTCGTTGGAAACATTATCCGCTGTCTGACCTTAGAAGCAGTGTTTTCTCGGAGGAAGGCCCTGGGAGCTGGATGAGGGAGGAGGTCTGTCCTACCCCATCCTTCCAAAAGTTCCTCCCTAGCCCTGTCTGGAAGAGAGTCCTCGAGGAAGTGACTCCTGCACTCGGGAAGAACATCCCCCTTAAATCCAGCCGTTCTACACTGCAGGGGAGACAAAACCAGCTCTGCTTGGCCCTCTGTCTGCAGAAGGTACCTTGCCTCTGGGGTAGCCTCATCTTGGTCAAAGTCCTGTGCTTATTTAAAGCCTGTTCCTGTGGAAAGCCTGGCTCAGGAACTCGAAGGCACACAATTGCTCTCAAGCATCCTTTGTATAAAACTCTCCTGATTTTTTTTTTAATTGTTTTTTTAAAACTTGTGCCTTTTTCTAGTAGGCCAACAGAGATGGGCAGCTGAGGGGACTGGAACAGCAGATTGTGTGCAACAAAGCAAAGCTTTAAGTTTCTTGGACTTTGTTTCCAGTGGACCTCAGAATGGGGTGGTATCCCTATGTCCAAGGCAGGAACGTGATGATTTCAGCAAAGCAACTAAGCTTAAGGTGTGAAATGTGTGTATGTGACTTGAGTACTGGAGACTTAAGTCAGCTGAGGAATCTGAGAAACAGTTTTATATCTGGATCTATTTACTGCAGATTGAGTCATTGTTAGTCTTTTTGAAAGAACAGTCCAACTATGTTGTTCTTGTTGCCATGCTCTTTTTGTAGTAGCTATTTACAGCTATATTGGGGCTTATTTGCCTCCTAGGTGGCCTTGTAAGGGTTGTCATTAAATCACAGTAGTATTTTCATATAGTATAATTAACTTACAGCACAACATTTATTTTAGAGAGGTAGTTGCAAAATGCTATAAGAACTGCAGTACCATAACTAGTCTAACTTACACGTGTATTGGGTTTTTTCTTCTCCTGTAGATTCTGTAAAGCTGTTTTGTTTTATCCTGTTATGGGGAGTATGTAACTGGAAGTGGGCTAGTGGGAAAAAAAAAAAAGTGACCTTTTGCACTAGGAATTTGCATCCTAAGCCTGAAAAACCTGGGACAGCGAATTTTTAGAATAACAAATAATAAAAATATAATAGTAACAGTGAGAGTTTGGCTGGAATGGGTTACATTGATAGTCAATTATATATAATGTATCTCTGTCTCAAGTTTAATAAACTAACTTCCATTAAATGCAAGATGAGGATTTTTCAGAATATAACCACTTCTCTGGCAATTTTTTTTTCAAATGGACTTCCAGATTCATAGTGTATTACAGTTTAATTCTGTCCATAAGGTTCAAAAATACATTTTTTATTTCATGAAAACTACTTTGGCCTTTTCTTGCTGGATAGTTTCAACATTATTTCATGTGTTTAACTTCTTGAGCAGTAGTGCAGCTACTACAAAGCAACTGGTTCGCAGCAACATCCTGTGCTTGAAAACTAGTATTTATTCCTTATCTTCCTCTGGAGAATGGCTGTGTCCAAGTCCTCTTACATCTCTGGATGCTTTGAGAAGAGGATAAAGATGACGTGTAGTCTTGGACTCTGATTCAATTACTTGCTTTGCATAGTTTTGAAATTCACGCTCCTTGCAAAGTGTAATAGCCTCTCGCTGAGCTTCGTAGTCCATGTCTGCTTGCTTTTCCTGCTGGTTTTTTGCTTGCTTTTCAGCCTGATGAAGAAAGGGAGTAACAAAACTTAGTGTTTATTTTACAACATGACTATCCCTTAAAATGTAGAGAGGGTAAAAGTTTACAGGAGATCTGTGGTGATGTTAGTTGATATTTGGTAAATACCATCCCTCCTCACTTTGTTCCCCTGCTGTACCCTCCACAAAACTGGTACATTAAAAAGCTGTGTGAACATCAGCATGAGCTGCTGCTGTTCTGTGACCTACCCAGAAGATACAAGAGGGCAGCAGTAGTATGTAACAGGATGTGATCTGTAATTGCAAACCAGCCTTGACTTGTTACACTGCTCTGAAAGAAGGCCAGTCTCCAACACCAGCATACATGAAATGTACATTATTTTAAAAAAACACAACAAAACTAAACCAAAAACCTCAAACAAAACACAGCAAGTTTCCTCTCTTTCTCTCAGGCAGGAGCCAGGGCTGTTGGTTTAGATATTTCTGAAGGGGCTGAGAGGATCTAGCTTTTCTATTTACCATTTGCTGGATCAGAAATTTCTGTACTTCCACGCATGCCTCATGTTGTCTTTTTTTTTTAGCTTTTTCCTTTTCCAGGTAGATGTGGTACTTTTCCTTTAGCTCATTAAGTTCTTTTTTAGCCTGCTCTTTTTCCTCTTGCTCCCTTTCCACTTTCATCTTCATCTGTATATTACAAAACACACAAAAAAAGAGTTAACCAAGGAGCCTGCTAGTTTGGAAGCCCTGTCTTTTAGCAGCAGTAGCCCTGTATGAGTACTCTGATGAGCATGGTCATTGTGGCTGGCCAGTGTCCAAGGCCAGGATATTCAGCAACCCTGGCAAATGTGTGACCAACATGGAAGTGGGAGAGGGAAA